CTTCTTCTTCTTCTTCTTCTTCTTCTTCTTCTTCTTCTTCTTCTCCGCCTCCTCCTTCTCCTCCTCTTCTTCTTCTTCCTCCTCCTCCTCCTCTTCCTCCGCCTGCTGCCTCCTCCTCCTTCTTCAGAGAGAGAGAGAGAGAGAGGTTACAGGCAGAGGTTACATCAGGCCATGAGGCCCAGGATCTGATTCGACATTTTTTTGGCAGACATTGATTGGACACTCAGCAGGGAGACTATTTATGGACTTCGCTATCGCGATCTTGGTCTTCTCCCTCATCTCCATCTTCGTCTCGCCTCTCCCCCCCCCCATCTCCTCATCCGTGGTATCTCCCCATGTGCATGATCAAGGAGGGACCTTTCTTCTATATCTGCAGTCCCTCCTCTCTCTCTCACATGTGTGGTGTATGATGGGGTGTCATGTCAGTATCTGATAGGTCAGGCCATATCTTCGAGTCTTCTGTTGCGCCACATTATGCTATTTTCATATGTATCTGGATGCACATTGCTTGTTGATGTTTTGCTGACGCTGCATTGTCCATTCGAGTCCTTTTCATCACTTTGCGGATCGTTGGCTCCATATAAATCGCTCGACTGAGCATGTATCACGTGGGCAAATGCAACTTCTGGTTTGTCAAAACAGGTCCGGATGGAGTGGTGGTGTAAGTCATAATCCGTCACCCTAGCTCTGATGTGTAGGCCTCTGAGCTCCCACCTCTTGCATTCAGCTACCGTCTTAACCCAAAAACAATGTACATACGCCGTGTGTTAAAAGAACATGCAAGGACATTGCATTTGAATACAACGTATGTACATTATGCTAAAAATTTTGAAGAACGACTTTTCCGAAGAGGGCTACCGGTACTGTAGTCACCCCTGTAGGGTCCTCTATCGCTGCGTCGGGCAGGTGTTGGTGTGGCTCAAAGATGAAAAAACAATGAATCATGATTCATGACCAATAGCGACAGCCGTGAGAAAACACAGGGTTGTGCCATCTGCGAGGGGAAAAACAAAATCGGAAAGACCTACCTTTCTATCTGAGTCCCACCCACCCCATCTAAACCGCAAGGATCCCGTAAAAAAAAAGGGAGGAATTTCTCAGGCATTGGACACCCCAAATGCAACGCACGACGGACATACAATTCTTTTGACTGCATCATCAATTCGAAGAAAAAAACATGATTGCTGAAAACCCATTTTTCGGAGGTAAGTTGAAAACAATGCAGTAACGTACATAGTACGTACGTACGTTGTTTTTGGATTAGTTTGCTCCTGTTTGGCGGATTGCAGAACTTCATAGTTCTCCAGTGGCAAGGGGGTCATCATCATCAGGTTGTTTCTGATTTGTATCGTTAACTCTAAGATTATCTTTACGCTCTTTCTGTTCTTTTGCTGGCCTCTTAGATTCCGTGAAATTACTTTTACCAATCTCTTACAATTGGATGGAAAGATGTAACTATCTGTGTGTGGAGAGCCGGGGCGGAAGGGGTTCGGTATGTTTGTGTCCAATTGGTTCTGAGTTTTGATCCCTCGTTGCCCTGAAGCCATCGATTGACATTCAGAGGTACGTGTGTTCTCTTGTGAATGTTATCTTGAAAGATCTTGGCAGAAAGAAATATGGCTTGAACTTCTGAATAAGGGKTACGTGTGTGGACCCACTTTGACCGTCCTGGTAGTTTCGACATTCAGAGGTATATGTGTTCTCTTGTGAATGTTATCTTGAAAGATCATGGAAGAAAAAAGAAATATGGCTTGAACTTCTGAATAAGGGCTACGTGTGTGGACCCACTTTGACCGTCCTGGTGGTTTGTTTCGAACTTCATCCAGTGGTCCATGTATCATTATGAAATTAAAGGTCATCCCATCACCTCCTGCACCGCAAGTGCCATCTATGAAAAGGTGGTATGTTCTCTTTGTGTCGCAACAAACAAATGACCTGCACCGCAGAATAAATGAACAACAAACAATTGACCTGAACCTAATTCTCTCGTCAGCCACCAAGCAATTATGTAGGGCGGTGAATTTTTTTTTTCCTTCTTTCTTCTTTCTTCTCTTCTGTTCTGCAGAGTGCGTATCTTCATTCAGGTTCTCTGTTAGTGTTACTCACAGTTGTTGACAACATGTCCCTGACTTGTTGTTGGTACTTGTGAACAGTATTGGAGGGATCGCCTTATGCGGGTCAAGGCATTGGGATTAAATACGATTCAGTTCTATGTTCCGTGGAATTTCCATGAGCAGAAACGTGGAAATGTTCGATTTGACGGGTGGCAGGACTTTCCAAAATTCTGCAGGATTGCTCAGGAAGTAGGCCTTCTGGTGATGTTACGACTTGGTCCTTATGTGTGTGGAGGTGCGCTCTGTTATTTCCCCTTCCTGACTTCAACGGGGTCCTGCTACTTAGCCACCCAATTCATATTTCCACCTGTTTACACACTCACCCATCTGCTTGCCTGCCTCCCTAACTAACTGTCCCTGCGTCCCTAGATTTTGGTGTCCCTTCCTGCCTGCCTGCCTGCCTCCCTAATTCGCTCCGTCCCTGCATCCCTGAATATCGGTGTCCCTGCCTGCCTGCCTGCCTCCTAACTGATTGCGTCCCTGCATCCCTAACTAACTGCGTCCCTGACTCTCTAACTATATGCTTGCCTGGCTGCCTCCCTAACTATTTGCTTGCCTGCCCAGCTCCCTAGTTCACCGTGCAGACTCCAAATTTGAGTCTCAGGATCCAGGTCCCCAAGTCATGAAAAGGCCCAGACAGCCGAAAACAGAAAAGAGGCAAGTCGGGTACTACCCTCAGGCTACAAAGGTAAAAATTCGACTGGTACCCGGCCCTCAAGTCCAGTCCCACAGTCAAAATATAGCAGCACTCCGAGAAAAGTCTGGAAGGCACCGGGCCCCAATATTCCACAGCAAACAGGCCGTGGACAACCGGTACCAAGTCAAATCAGGCCCAGGAGACGGGGCTTGGGCAAGGAGGTCGTGCTCTCCCTCAACTAACAGAAATTCATAAAATAACACATGACAAAAATAAATTAGCTATTCGATGTCGATGGTTGAATCATCTTACACCATTGTCATTAGCTATCTGGTGGTTAGATGATGGGTCAATTATTTCACTAGGGCGAAAGGGAGTCTTATGTACTGATGGTTTTGACGAAGATTCTGTGAAACTTTTAGCTCGTTATTTAGAAGTTGTTTGGAATGTGTGAACTTTGACATGTTTCTTTTGTCATTTTCTGAATTATTTGATTGTTTTGTGGAGGATCTTCCTGTGTGGTTGAGGTTGGGAGACGAGGGAAAGCTTACCTGGACTTACCTGGCGACATCGTGACTCATCTGCTGCTGGTCTCCACAAAGGTGAGGAGTGTCAGCTCCATCCTCCTCAGCTTGATATGGATGTTGTGAGGAGGATGGGCGCTCTGCTGGATCTGCACAGTGATATGTTAGAGGCGGTCAGAAGAGATCATACATTGCTGACGTGGCGAGAGGGGAGAAGCCGGATGAGGAAGTGAGGAAGAGAGGCGACAGACATGAATTGTTTATTACTATTGTCCTCTCCTCCTCCTCCTCTTTGCATTATTTCTCCTGTATCCCTCCACTCTCTCTGCTCTTCTATGATGACTCGCTGCTGTTGACATGAGCTATCAGTCGAATTATGTACTCGCATTTGCAATGAACCCAGTCAGATGGAAAACTCGTCAATGTCAAAATACAGAATGTCTCAGCACAGTTTCAATGTCTCCAGAATCGTACATGTAATCAAATAGTCCAATGTCTCATGACCAGAGAAGAAGCTGATAGGAGGGAGATAAGATTTAGAGGGTGGAAGAGAAAGTACCCATCATCTCAGTAGATAGATCTCCCTCACAAGCCCACTTCCCCTTCAGGCATCTCCCACTCGCCACGTCAGCAGACAGTCTCCTCTGACACGCTCTGACAATGAACAGATCTCATCATGGCGCAGACTTCTTCTGAAGATGTACAGCAATGCGCAATGTTGACATGAACGCAAACAGGTAAGCTTTCCCCGACATTCGACCAATCCCACAGCCCTGATCCTCCTCCTCCTCGCTGATACTCCATCAAAGTCGTAATCAGTGTGGCAAGAGCCACGCCAGCATAATCAAATGTCCAGGTGGTGCCATAGACAGAAACAGGCGCCAACACAAAGCAATAGCAGTCCTGCGTCGTCGTCCAACGTCAAGCCAGCGTAGACCCAGCTTCAAGCAGCATGTGCAAGAATGAATGTCCACGGTCAGGTCCTGAGTCAACACATAGTGTTGACTTGAGTTGACCAGCCTCAGGTCTCATGCATACGACGGCCCAGATCGTCCATCAGTCAATGGCCTGGATCCTTTACAGTTGCAGAAACCGATATTTCCCATTTGGGCTTGATCTCGTCCGGATACCTGCAAACAACCAGAGGTGCGTACGTGATCTATGGCCAAGACTGGAAACAGCTTGACTTGACTTGTGTGCCTGAATTTCCGAGCTGAGGTCAACTGTGGACTTGCCAAGGTCAACTGTCTCACGTTAGACCTCGGAAGGCCGTTTCTGGCCTTGCCTGCGGTGCCCCACAGTTGTAGGCCTTCGGGCAGGCATCTCATGACTTGGGCGTGACCTTTGGCCCCCGTTTCGGGCCTTTGCACAAAAGTGACGACCCACAGCCGTGTCTGGTGCTCATTTGAGCCGAGTTATTCCAGCATTCATGATTGGAGACATCATATTGGGCGCCGGGTTCAGACTTGTTTGCCCTGCTTGAACTCATCGACACTGGGTTCATTACACTGACTCTCTTGGGGTGCTTCTGAATCATTTGTTGTGGGGTTTTTCGTCCGCATTTCCACACTCTTTTTTTCCACATCCTGTGTAGGAGCGAGTATGTCCTGTTGCGACACTTGTCAGCTTCTCCTTCCCACTTATGTCATGTGTGAGGTTCCTCATGATGGAGACAAAACAAAAGCATTGAGAAAATCAGCAGCAGGGGGTGGGGAGGAGATGACAATTGCAGTTACCTTTGTTTCTGTATTCAACTTTTCATGCAGAGTGGGAATTTGGAGGTTTTCCTGAATGGCTTCTCACGGAGAATGTTGAGCTGCGTTCTTCTGACCCTGCATATTTACGTCTGGTATGTTGACTACTTCCTCCATGTTGCAGTTGTGTCTGACCAGCATTCATGTAAATAAGACTAATAAGTTAAAATAACATAGTTAATGTTTAATGTTTTACATAATCTAACATTTTATTAATTTATTAATTCCTTTAATAATAAGTTTAATTAAAATTATTATTATTATTTTAATTTTTTTCCTTCTTTTTTTTTTTTTTTTTTGGTTGAGACGATGCTCCAATCTATTCGTGGGGAGCAACACGGCTGGGAACCAGGCCCAGCGTCCCTTATCAGAATACAAAAATGACCTACCGGGGCCATTACCCGGCCTTCGGCTTAGAACGATTGAAGAAAAGGGAGAACTCAGAAACATTCATGGTCCGCTACTCAGACTCTACCAAGTCACTAGAATATGTGTGTCAAAAAGCCTCCCAACCACGAATCAGATAGGTGAAGCCTATTCAATCCACCTACGACCACCACCAGCATGGCTATTTTCAGCATGAACCGAAGCTCTCCCAGGCCTCATGCTCCCATCAGGTTAGGTTACAGCGTTGCACCACCTTGCTCTAGCACCGGCCAGCATTGCTCCAGTTACGACCACCGATGACCACTGAGACTGCCCCCGCAAACAGCCCCCCAGATCTCTCTACCAGGCCTCACACCCCCACTAAGCTAGGTCACAGAGTCGCACCACCTGGCGCCAGCTCCGGCCAGCGTTGCTCCAGCATCGATCTTCGAGAGCCACTGAGTTTTTGATCACCCTTCGCAGGATCACAGATGACTTGCCAGATAGCGCCTATTCCTACAACCTCCTCGAGAGGCAAACCGAATGGAAAGAAATACGAAATTGGATGTTAGAATTCTTCTAGAGAGATCGCCCCTCCCTCCCCCTACCCCTCCCCCCTCAGCCCTACACTGCCTCCGCCGAGGCGAGTCACCCACTCTCCCTCGGCCCCAATATAGGACCAACCCTCTACCTCCCTTTCCCCAGGAGCACGCAGTTCCCACCTAAAGCATGCCCCCCCACCCCTTACCCATTTCTGCCTCCGCTGGGACTGATGTTGACCCACACGCCAGCCCCTGCCCCAGAATAGGGCAACCCCCTACTCCGCCCCTACCCTTTTTGAGACATTCACCCCCCACCTTGTGATGCCCCTGTAGAGCTCCCCCCCCCCCTTTCTTACCGTTCAGGCCTCCGGGAACGATCCAATCCAGCTGATTACAGTTATTGATGACACACTAACCAAAATGTCGATCACAATTTGGAAAAGCAGGGCCTCTTCAAAAATATGCAATAACCCCCGAAAACACCCTACACCTTTAGGAAAACCCACTGAAGAAAGCGCAGGGCAGCAGTAAGACTAGTACGATTATTTCCCTGCCCCTTGCGCCAATCAACGTTTGGCAGCTCCCACCATGTGCACGTATCACCAATTTGAAAGAAGCAAAAAACTAATTATCGGAGAGATTCCGAAGTTTTCGGGTTCCAAGATTAGAAAATCATGATAGAACTTTACTTGGGACTTTTAGAAATTATAGTCGAAATTTCAAGGATACGTAATTATAGAACAGATCCCTACGAATTGTGCTGGCGATTCAGAATGGATAATATATGTTTGTGTGTATGTGTGCACATGTAGATGAGAATACTTTGGTTGGGACTTTTAGAAATTATAGTCGAAATTCAAGGATATCATGGATATGTGTATATGTGTGTACATGTAAATGAGAATTTGGCTGATCAGAAAATAGAGGATAAGATTGTGAGTTTATTTTTCCAAATTTGAGAAGCTGAATTTATAATTATGTAAGCACTAGATTAGAGCAAGAATATAGGAAATTAGAAGATACAAAATTAAAATCAGCGAAATCAATTTGAAAAGGCAGCCGACGCAAAGAGCACCACACATGTTCGCAGGAAATTCTCCTGCTCCATTGCCGCTGTCATTTTTGCGCCGCTACCTGCTTCCGTGTCTTTAACCGGTGAACCAGCTCAAACGAATGCTTGAAACCGCCAGCTCTTTCTGACGCTCCAGCTTGTAACAAGCCTCCCTCCCCCCGCTCCGCATGAGAAGATGCTCCTCACTTTCTGCCCGTGCTGCCCAACCAACCTCCACTAGATTCGCGCAGGAGCATAGGAGCAGGGCCACTACCATGCCCAAGATCTCATGAAGACTATCCTAATCACCCCGACAGCCTCCCCTTCCTCTAGCGTGTCAACCCGCGACACCACATAAATGAAGCATGGAGCAAGAGACCTCTTCAGCCTAGGTTATCAGGGCTGGAACAACCCTCAGCCGAAGCATCACATCAATGGCCGCGCCAGACAAAACCAAAGGAACCTCGCGTCATCACCTGCCGCCATAATCCCCATTGCCCACATCAACTCCTTGATATTCCTTGCAGGGAGCCGTGCCGTCAAGGCGCCACCAACTCACGAACCAGCCCATGTCGATAGCGGAGCGGCGCGGTGCTCCCGGTCGCGCTGCGCCACTCCTTGAATTTTGTTCTTCTCCAATGTTAGGAGCTGCGAAACACGGACTGAGACACAGCTGATTTCTGAGTTTTGCCCATGGAATGTATGCTTTGCTGAGTCATAGCTGCTTTGTGTTGTCCTTTGCACAGCCGGGCAATGCCCTGGCTGTCCGCCATAGCCTTGGCCTTGGAGGAAGGAGGAAGAAGGGTGGGCATGACTATGGTGGACCTCATGTGATACCTGCAGTAGAAGAGGGATTCAGACATTGATTCTGGTTCAGCCATTCAACATTATTACTATTATTTCTTGTTTGAATAACAGGGGAGGAGATAAGGAGGAGAGTGGTTGGCGAAGAAGCAGGGAATTATCATTGGTCTTTGCTGGTGTACATTTTATTCTTCTTTCTTTCTTCTTCTTCTTCTTCTTTCCCTCTCTCTCCTCTCCGGTTCATTCATTTCTTTTTGCGATTGGACGGCATTGTGTTTTCTCATGATTGTGTACTTCGAAATTGGCCAGGATTTTAACACCAATCAAATTGAGTGAGCATTTGCAGGTCTTGTTCTTGTCAAACCAACACCTGAGGCGGCAGTGCGATTGGGCAATAGATAGCAGTCCATTGAAAACCCCATAGCCAATCACAACCCTGAATCCTCAAGCATTCAGTAAATGAAGATGAGTACGATGCCCGAGTGGCAGGGTAGTGGCGTCAAGAACTTGTTTGCTCAGGCTTATCAAGTTTACCACAAATGATAAATCATGTCTCAGACTCTGAGGTATAAAATTTATATAAAAAAAGAAGAATAAATCCAACAGCGCCTCTTCCTTCCCCTCCCAGATTCCCACCGTATTTTGTTATCCCCTCCCCCAGCCCTCCCCAGCTCCCTCCTCTTCCTCCCCAAGCCCTTCCACCAGCACCCTTCTATTCTCTGAGCCCACTTCTGTGATCTGACGCTTACCATGGGTCTTGTTATGCAGGTTGATGAATGGTGGGATCACCTTCTTCCTGAAGTTGTTCCTCTTCTTTACAAAAATGGAGGACCCATCATAATGGTCCAGGTGAGGAAATGAGCAGGGCATGTTGGATGACGAGACTTGACAACAAGCCTTACGTGCGCCTGGAGAGTCATTGCACCAGTCCAAGGGGTGTTTGTGTATGTGTGGGGCTGAAAGAGGCAAAAAAACGGCAATGCAGTCATTGATGTTAATAAAACCCAAAGGTGTAGTGGAAGACTCAACAAGGAGATGGAAGCCAATGGGCAACAGATAAGCTCAGATGGAAAGCAACTAGGAATGGAAGCCAAAGCAGGTGAAGGGTGAAAGCTGTCTCCCAACGTACACAAACATATGAGGTGACCAATACACATGATGGAGGAGGAGGAGAAGGAGAAGAAAAAAGAAGAAGAAGAATTTCAATGAGTCTCCAAATCCCTTGCTACATATGGACACAATGTCTCTCTCACAGCCCAAGGCACTGATCCTTCAAACCTGCTCTCATAGCCACCAACGAAAGAATGTGGAAGAAGAAGAAGGAAGAAGAAGAAGAACACAGAGAAGCAGAAGAAGAGTTGGACACCCTGCAACGTTCTAGCATGTGGCGCTATTCACAATTCTCACAGCCGGGCTTTTCTTTCGCACGCTGGTTTACGGGAACACATTCAAAGGAAGGCTTGCTCCATGGAGGTCACACTGGCAGACACCTGCAACACAGCAAGTTGTAAAGTGACTCTGAAGAGTCTGAGCCTATATATTGGCACCGTAATGGATTTGATATCCTGGAAAGGGAAATGGAATAAGCTGCTCCTAAAATCAATTCCAATGGCTGCAAAAGCTGCCCCATTGAGCGCAGCTTGAAAAGCGCCTGCTAAAATAAGAAACTCGCCAAATAAAGCTACTGAAAGGCATTTTCACTTTGCAGCCCCTAAATTCGACTCCCAGGGTCAATGTCCCCAAGTCAAAACAGGCCAAGAAGGCTGAAACAGAAAAGGTGTCGAGTCGGGTACCCCTGAGGCCACGTAGGTCAAAATTCAACCGGTACCCGGCCTCAAAGTCCAGTCCCACAGTCAAATGCAGCAGCGCTCCAAGGAAAGGTCTGGAAGGTACTGGGCCTCAGTATTCCAAAAGCAAACAGGCCGCGGGAGACCGGTGCCACACAAAGTCAGGCCCAAGCCAAGTCAAGCAAAAGGCCAAGTGAAGTCGGGCCAGTCCAAGTCAATAAGAAGACTGGCCCAGCCTCATTCGAACAGATTGCTCATTCGCAAGAAGGTGGAAGCGCTGCTGGTGCTTGTGCGCTATTGCGAGTGACTGAGTGCTACAGAGCCCTGTTGGGCAGCGCTGTGCTGTGGAAGACAGGCGGCCATAGCCACACAGTAGTAGTAGTAGTAGAGCATGTGTAGGAGGCGGATGTATCCAGGGTTGTGATCCTCATAGTGAGAGAGAGAGAGAGAGAGAGAGAGAGAGAGAGAGAGAGAGAGAGAGAGAGGCAGCGAGGCAGCGAGGCTGTGCGGCATAAGCCAAGAGAGGGAGAGAGTTACATACCTGATTGAGGTTGCTGTGTGCTGCGCTGATGAGCGCTTGGTGACTCAAACTCAGAATCTGTATAATATGGTGTTGCGCTGATGAGCGCTTGGTGACTCGGACTCTGGCTAGTATAATACGATCATTCATTGAAGTTTATGAGCTGCGCTAATCTGGACTCTGTATCTCTGAACTTGGTGTCGGTTTTGTGTGAGCTCTCATGGTGAAGGGGCAAGTTGACCATGATGTGGCGGCTTGCCCCTTTTTCCACTCCAACACTCTCCTACCTCTCCCATTCTACCTCTAGGCCCTTTTCTCCTTGCCTTTGCTGGCCGTTTTATCCCGGATCACACTAGAACCTCATTTTTCAGGTTCATTGTACCTGGGCACTTAAAAACTAAGGCCCTTGTGATCCGTTGCATCCCTCTTGAGTCCCTTCTCAATTTCAAGGCCTAGAAATTCTAACCTCTTACATTCTGGCACTCAAGTGACCACCATTTCTCAGATCCCTTGTGGTTGGGCACTTGTCTAGCTGGAGCCTATTAATTCGCTTGCACCCCCTTGCTTGGTTCCACTAGACCTAGGTTTTTCCATTGCCGTATTTGGGTGGCCCCCTAGGCCATACACTAGTGGTGGCACCAAGGCACTAATTCCTTGATGCCACCGAGCCCATCCGCTTGTGGTACCGGCGTCCTTGTGTTGCCTTTTCCAGTGGTCCTCCTTCCTCAAGAAGAGGGCCGCCTTTATTATTTATGTGCAGCACTTGTGATCCCATCCCCACAGGGTATTTTTCATGCACCATGTGTCTGCCGACGACATCCTTGCCGCTTGCCGTGTCCGCATGCCACCTGATCCAGAAAATAGTATGTTATCCATCTGATCCCTGTGACGTCTGTATTTTTAATATATTGTGGGCGCCGATGTTCCAAATGTTCCAGTCTTGGAACTACGTCGTTCCGTCCCCGATTGCCAATTCTTTCCTTTTTCTTGTGATTACGGGAAATACCTTTTTCCAGGTTTTTCCAGGAACCTTTTTCCTCCATTCCGTTTTCTTGCTTCAAAAAACAATTACTTGAGCAACTGGCCTCTGTCGCTCATACACTTTTATTATGTCGCAGGCAACGTCCCTCCTGATGTTCTTGCCTTGGAGCGGAGTCATTCCGCTCGCGTTTGCCCACTTTTCTCTCTCCTTTGTGACTTATGGGAAAAACCGTCATTTCTGGGTTTTCCCGGAACCTTCAAACTATCGCCCAATCTGTTATTGGCTTTCTTCCTCGGTCGATTCCAAGTTCTTGTGCTCGTGCGGCCCTTCTTTTCTTCCATCTCTGCGTCCTACTCATCCTGAGTCCCATCTTGGGCTCTTGGTCCCGACGGTCTGGAGTCCCGTCTTGGGACTTTGGGTGTCGACGGTCCCATCTTAATCATCTGTCTGACCTTTTCCTTCTCTCTTGTCTCCTTCTTCCGGATTCCTCTGTTGTGCATATCCTTGTCATGTACCTGTCTCAAGGGTCCGGACTTTATTCGAGAACCAAGGGTTCCGACACCATTTTAACTAGGACAACGGTCGCGTTTGTTCTTCTTCGCCTTCTACGAGCAAGCAAAGGAAAGAGAGAGAGAGAGAGAGAGAGAGAGAGAGAGAGAGAGAGAGAGAGAGAGAGAGAGAGAGAGAGAGAGAGATGACAAAAACAAGAGAGAAACAAGAGGGAAAGGGGAGAGAGAAAGCCGAGAGAGGAGGGAGCCGGAGATGAGCGAGAAAGGAGAGAGAGACGAGAGAGGAGGGTGCTACAACCACGCCACTCACACTCCCAAGGGAGAGGGAAAGTCGAGAGAGGAGGGAGCGGGAGATGAGCGAGAAGGAGAGAGAGACGAGAGAGGAGGGAACTACAACCACACCACTCACACCCCCCCCATACCCCCCCCCCCCACACACACACATGGAATGAAACTTCTCTGTTCAAAGTTCTCTCTGCGGATTTGGGGAGATATCCGCGAGCGCAGTCCAACCCTGTTTTCAAAAAAATAAAAAATAAACAAATTGACACGGTTTTGGGCCAACCGGAACTCCAGTTGGACCACTTGGGGTCCAACCGGCCCAGTTGGATCCGGGCTGGTCCAACCGGCCGGTTGCCGGCATCATTACTCGCCTGCACCCGAAACAGAAATTTTTGCCGCCCGCACCCACCTCCACCCGCCCGTGCCAGTTCCTTACACCCTGCCCTCTCTCTCTCTCTCTCTCTCTCTCTCTCTCACACACACACACACACACACACACACACACACACACAGCCCTGATTATAAATGATTTTCTTCCATAAGGATCTTCCTTTTTCCACCTCTTTGTCAACATCCTCTTCCATGTTCTCAATATGTTTACTACTTGGGAGGGGCCAATTTGGCTTGAGTAACGAAAAGGAGCCCTAGCAGTGCTTGCATGGTATTTACTCTTGAGAGATTGGAAGGGTGCTTGCTCTCTGATTTGCCTAAGTGCTAGTTGGAACCAAGGAAGGTCGAAGTGGATAATTAGTCCCGCTCGCTAACCACTTGTTCAGTAGGGCTTGGATTTGTGGGGTTGGGTCTAGAATTCGTAAGCCCTTTTTACTTTTGGGTTATGTTACCATTCCCAAGCTACCCTGTGGATGAACCATTCCTTATCTGGATTACTTATGCGTAGAAAGGTTCCCTTTGGTTCTCCTAAGCGAACCAGATCGCCGTAGTGTACTACATCATGGCTAGCTAGCACCGAGTTGTTTAAAGATACCCATTATGGAAGTGCTGGTTTGTTGCTAACTTTGCATTCTCTTTAGCATGGAGGAGAGAAGAACGACTGCTGGCTCGGAGTGCCAACCCTTGTTGATGTTAAACCGCCAGCACACCAACCCAGGTAACTTGAGAGAACCAATGACTCGCTCCGAAAAGTTTGGAGGCCCGGGGCTACCAGACCACAATGGCTGGCGGCACCAGCCGAAAAAGAAAAGAAGTGCGCCACTGGCGATTCAGCAAAGCTTGGCACGCAATGCCAGTCCACCAGGCTTGGGTGTACTGGTGGTTTAAGTTTCATCCCCAAGAACTGAATCAGCATTGCTGGATCTATCCACTGCGTGCCCTAACGGGAATCCATAGTGAGCCACGATCCTATCGTCATATTTCAGTTTATTTTCTTTCCAGAGTCTAATTGGGTCCGCTCGGCGCCGCGGCGCCGCGGGGCATCGCGAGGACGGTGTGGCCGGTCAACTGGCACCTTGGGGTCCTCGCAGGTGGTCCGCGGACAACCATGCCCGCCCACGCCTTGGGGTGGAGGCATCCATAGCTGCCGAGGGAGGGAGTTGTGAGTAGCCAGCGCGCGGTTTTCTCTACAGACGACAGGGATGACAACAGTGTGACGGGCATGGAGAACGACAGGCGGGGAAAACGACGATCAGGGGAGGACGAAATAAAGGAAGCGGAGTAAGAAATGCCAAACGGAGATTGCGATTGAAGTAGCCCTGCAAAGGCAGAGGCGAGGAATAGTGCAGGGAAGGAAGTACAGCAGGCGGGCAACATCA